GTACCAGTGTTATGCCTAGGCTCCATACATCCGCTCGAACATCATATGCGACTTTCTTCTCACCTTCAATTCTTTCCGGCGGCATGTAAGGCTTACAGCCTGCATTCACCGTTTTCGCGACCTTAAACGGCCTCTAATATCGAATAAGTATTTGGACACGCTGGAGACGCTTGCAAAATTAAAAAAGTTTGAATTAGATTAATTACACAGCAAAAACCTAAGGCTCATCGCTATACGCTCACAACTGAACCAGCAAAACAGAATTAAACTTCTGCTATGTCCAGTTATGTGAATGCGTGAAACAGCCACAAAGCATTAAAGAAGACAATCGACAAAGTTCAGTTTCTGAGCTGACACTTACCGAATTCGTTAAATGACCCGAGATACCAAAATCACAAATTTTCACCGCGCCTCGTCTGTTGAGCAATATGTTTGATGGCTTCACGTCACGATGTATCAGATTCATTTGCTCTTTCATAAAATTCAATCCCTCAACCACCTGCGAAAATGGTTCTTTTTAGGAACTGCGGAAATATTACGCAAGAAAATCTAGCCTCCCCCTCCCTCCCCCCACCCCTCCACTCTCATCAACCCAGATGCTTTTAGTACGATTTCAGAATAGTTACAACTGTGTCATATTTGTACAAGTCTACGCAGCCAATAAGTGATTGCGGGATTTTTTTCTTCATTGCACGAATGTGGGTGCCTGCTTTAACCCGCAAACACATAACTACTGCCTAGGTTTCATTTTTGAGTGTGCATACTGTGTTATCTTTTGAGAAATTACTTCACTGAAAATAAAAAATAAATAATTTTATCCACTTACCGAAAGAGCACATTTCGCAATAAACATTTCGGGCAAGCGGCCACCCGTGTCGAAGCACCTCCGATAAAATTTGTCCAGCGATGTGTCCATAACTTCCATGCAAATCCATACATCACCTTCACGAAACATTGCACCGTAGAAACGAACCATCTGAACGTCGGATTGCTCGACAGTTTCTTAGCCACGTGTTTGAATTAAATATATTTACAAAACACTCAAATCAGTGATAGCAGAAATGCTAATTTTCCCTGCAACTCTAATTTTCTTAAAAAACATACTAAATTTCTCTTCAAATTTGCCGCATACAGATATTTTTGAAAAAAAAAAGTTTATCAAAAAGAGAAACACTGGAATTTCCTCAAAATACTCAAAAAACGAAAGAAATTTGCTTGGGGAATATTAGACAACCAAAAAGGTTTCAAGGGAAAAAGTCACAGAATAGCACTGAATCAAGGATGTGTTCTTTTTCTACTATTCTGAATCGTCTCAATCAGCTTAACTTTGGCGGTGAAATTACCCATATCTTAATTGCTAACGGAGCAATTATATGCAGTAATACACGGAGGCGCATCGCAAAAGATTTAATAGAAATAAAGAAAAGTTAAAATGAGAGTGTTAAATTATCAGTAAGCGGCTACCTGCGGACAGCAATCACTTTTCATGCAAGCTTGGACCTCAACCAGCATCCGCTTCTGGCTTTCATCATTAATCTGAGAATGAATGCGCTAAAATGATAATTCTACATGACACTTTCTTTCACTTCTTGCTTTCACTTCTCAATAAAAAAATCTTTTGAAATTTGAGAATTTCAAGCAGTAAATCTTCGGACGAATTTTTTCTCGAATTTTCAAAATTACTGGGTAAGTTGGAAGAGCGATATAAACCTTGACTGCCATAATGGTATTCGTTTCTCGGTGGCGCATTTTTTCAACCACTCCATATGCACCTCGTCCCAGCTCTTCCACCTTCTCCAGTTCTTGAGCACGAACTTCCACTTCCGGACCATCGTCCGTAAACCTGCAATTCTGCGACAATTTGATCGCAAATCAAAGTTGTCACAACGACAAGTCTCAGTCACGGTAACGAAACTGCTCTCTCTTACCTTGACATTCAATCCGGCTTTCCTATGCGACAGCACTTCCTACTGTCCTCTCCCTTTGGAAGAGAATTTTTACAGAAATTCTTCTACGTGTTATTTCCAGCCACAATTTTTCTATGCCTGCACAAAGCTGTCCGGTTAAAATCTAATCGCTTGATTACGGAAAAACTTTTTTTGGGAAAAAATGAATAATTCCTATCGCAATTATTTTTTTCTCGAAAACCTTCGAATAGAGTGTATGAAGGAATAATAATTCGAAATTTTTTGCAAGAAAAAAAAATGCCGGACTAACAAATCTCTCGATACTGGGGCAACCTCACCTCATCATGCACTTATCATCAAGGTCCAGATTTGGAGGGCTTTCTGGTAACGGCATTGTAAGACGACCAAGTTTACCTCTACCTGCAAAAATGCTCCATGTTCGTGCGAAAAATTTACATGAAACGTGAAGAATTTTTGTGGAGACAAGAAGAATGCACATTATTACCAGGACGATTAGCCATTGCCAATGAGAGCGATAATGGGTCCAGACAAACTGTTACACCTCGAATTTTGTCAAGCTCATTTGCGAAGCAGTTAGTTGAGCAGGCGCCCAAAGCAGATTAGTCTCATCATCGATGCAATTACATGTTCTGAAAAACAGGATCAGGCCAAGAACAAATTAACTGCTCGCTCGTTCCTGAACAATAAATTTAATTCCATTGACCAATT